AGTGACCTCGTCGGCAAACGCCGAGGAAGTTGAAGCAAAAATTGAATGTCCCGCGGCTCTTCGGCTATGAGAAGGTCGTCCGGTACTTCATCATATGGCCGAGGGGCGCGCGTCCAGTACAACGGAAACAAACTCTTATCGTCGACCCCAAAAAAGAAACGACGTCCGTTCAGACGAATAGTCACTCGAAAGAACCCAGCCTTAAAGTTCTTATAAGACGAAGTGAAACTATCCAGAAGCTGCCGACTCCCCACTCGGTTAATCGATACCCATTTCGCCAAGTCTGACGGCCGAGAAGAGTAAAAATAGAGAAAAAGTAGAGGGGAAGGTTTGATGTTCACGCACCGACACAGATGTTTAAAACCTTGAAGTTGTGCCCAGCTATTTGGGTGTAGTTAATTCGGTGCTACGTTTAAAACTCTAAGCACCCCCATGGTGAATTCATCAAACGGCAACTTCACCTTTAAGTCTCTTAGAAGGCAATCGTACATGTAGAAGGAGGCCATCCGATCAGCCTGCTTGTCTAGGCATACGATGTCTGGATTGGGAAAGGCGTTGTTTCGGCACGCGCGAACCCCAATCGAATAGGGATTCTCCCCAGCATCGAAGTGCAAACATTTGGTATACTCTAGTAGATTGGTAATCATGGTAGTATCTCGGTAGCGAGAGTAATACGAAGTGACCTCTCCATTCACCCATTCATACTCCGGTACTTCAGATGGCCCATATTTTTGCCGATTGGAGACACGCCTACTCCTGGTCGGCACCTCCTCACTCCCACTGGTGGAGGTCTCTTCGGACCCACTCTCACTTTCACCAGATCCTCTTACTTCGTTCGGCGAAGGCACCTCCACGCGTGAATGCTCCGAAGCACTGGACGATGACCCCTCGGATGAAGACGACCGAACCCCAGTAGCCGAAGAGCTTTCGGAAGAAGTAGCCATAAAATCGAACTTACCAACAAAGAAATTTTTAAAACAATCACTCGGCGTGTGTGGATTGGATATCTAAACCTAGCTCGGACGACACAATTCGGCTGAGAGCGATACGCGTAAGAGGCCCTACCACCCATACCTATATATAGCAAAACAAAATGGCGGGAAAATTTTAAAAAAGTAACTGCCAGATCTTCAAAATCCAACGGCGGCGATTTCTCCAACCTTTTGACTCCTCACATACCTTAACACCATTTCTATACCCTTGAGCAAGGTTTTCCTTCCCCAAGGCTAGGGGGCAAGTGTACTAGTAAGGCCATTCGGCCACCTGGTTCGGCCATTCGGCCACCTGGTTCGGCCATTCGGCCACCTAATGACTGACACCCAAATGGCCGAACCAGGTGGCCGCCCGCTGATCGGCCACCAGATGATCCATAAGCTGTTATTCCCAAGCAAGAGTTAACAAATACCCTTAATTAGGGATTAAAAGTTAATCACACCAATAAGCCGATTAGAAGCATATTACCTAATACGGTAATCCTGTTGCAGGGCCCATGGTAATCCGGGCCCATAAATGTCAGTATAAATAGCTCATGTCATAAGGTAACGCCACTGTTCATTAATTGTCATCGATATTTGTGCTTTGTACTGACTTGAGCGTCGGAGTGCCTTCTGCAGGTGTCTCTCCCCCCGGCTTACCGGAATATTCGATCGGAGTACTCGTTCGGCCCTTAGAATACAAGAAGATTACTGTTGTATCCTTTTGACAGGTACAATAAACTTGTATCATTAACTATTTATTGACCGTCTCTTTAGTTAAACAAAGTTTTAAATTCGAATTTTATTGATAAAAAAATATTTTTAAAAAATATCTCAGTAAAGATAGTCAATTAAATTCTTTGACAAAAATTAAATATCTATAAACTTCTCATCAATAAAATAGTTAAAAATTATGAATTTTTGTCATAATATTTATCCAAAGTTTTATTTTCCTTTCAAATATTGGCAAAATTTTAATAGAAAAATAAAATTTATTATTATAATATATTGGTATAATTTTCTTAGTGTTGAGAAATAAAAAAGAAAAAAATAACTAGATAAAACAAATTATGTGATAAAAAAGAAAGATAAAAATGAGTTTTGAAAATATTATAAAAATAATATTACTTTTAAGAGTATTTATTATCATACATATGGCTCTTTTACGACTCATTTCTTCCTCTCTCTTTTTTATTTTTCGTCATATTGTATATTGATTAAATCTATCCCTTTTCCTCTACAGTTTTAAAATCTCTTCTCTTTCTATTTCAGTATAAGGTGTGGTTATAATTTTTCTATATTGAAACTTTATTTTTAAAAGAAATATTATTTTAAAAATTAAAATGCAAGTATATTATAAATTGAAAATAAATACATCCAGAATTATTTACTTAAAAGATAAAAGAATGATTAAGTAAAACGGAATTAAATGGTACTGGTAGGAGGCCCGGTGTAAGAAACGCGTGGTTCTGATGCAGAAAGGGACCTTTTCGGAATGACACGTTCTGACCTGTGAAACTACTACTTCCATCCTCTTCTCCTCTCATCACGTTCTCATATCGCCCCAATTAATTGTAAAAGTTGGCTTTATTTTTTGGTGATGATGTAGTGCATAGCTCATCAATGACACTGTACATGGACTATGTGTCAAATACTCAAATCTCCATCCCTAATTAAGGTTTACTATATAAATTATTGCTTATCTATCACCTACAAAACACAACTTCTTTTTGAGTAAACTCTCTTGGCTAAGATCAACTCAAACTCTGCATGCCTTTAATTTATATTTTAGAAATACTTATTATAATACAGATATAAGGAATGATCTTTTTTCTTTATTTTTAATAAATTATTATATTTTTTATTAAGAAAGGTTTTAGTAAAATAACTGTTCATGTTTTTTTTTTTTAAGTAATCATTCATAATCACTAATTCAATTTATTTATTTTTTATTTTATTTATAATTTTTAAAATATAAGAGATGTTTTTTTTTCTTCCTACTAATAGATACTAACAATACTTCCACTTAGGCATGACAATCTAACCCGTCCCTGTGGGTACCTGAATGAACTTGTCCCGATTTGGACGGGAAAAACCCATGTTTATCAGGTTCAGGTTCGGGTTCGAGTTTTTCTCGATTGATAAAATCGGGTGCAGGGGCGGGGATGAGGATGTTAATACCCG